TGATGGTAAAGAGAAGTGCCATGTAAACAACTGTTCACTACATCTAGAAAGCAGGTCGTACTCATTAAAGCAAAAGAATGGAGGGCTTCAGGAGAGATGTCTTTTCCACTTGCCTTTGCCCAAATGTAACATGAGTTGCATTTTATAATTTTTAAAATAGTTCAGTATTTATGAGAGGGAACAATAGTAATGGATAAGATAAAGAAACTATGATTTACAAAAGTTACTTTTCTGAGTGTACCTCATGGAGCTTAGAATCAAACCTGGGAAAGCATAATCCAGGGTACATACTTTTTCACAAATGCATTATATCAAAATGAGAATGCAAGGTAGAATGTAGTAGTCCTCTGGGATGAGAGGTTATTTTTAAAAGAATAATTGCGTATTTTAATGTACAGTTTATAAAGTAGTTTTCATAATATTTTGGTTATGATAAAGTACTTTGGAAGGATTTTGAGATGGAAGGATGACTTGGGTCAAGTGAATGGAGAATGGGATATTTGCCAATAGTAATAATCAGGCTCAAATCGGGGTGGATGCCAGTGAATTCTCACGATTCCCTGTAAACCTTTTATGGTATTGGTAGGGTGTTTTGGAAGCAGATATAAACGACTTTTCCATTGCCAGTGATTTAAGGACTGAACTACAACCTCTCATCTGCATCAGTAACTTGACCTCAAGCTTTTAATGGGTGACAGATGTGTCAAACTGATTTGAGCACTACGGATGCAAAATTTATGGTCCAAAATTCTTTTCCTTTGGAAATTAAACAGTGTGAAGTAGATTAACTTTTTTTTTAAGATGACAGAGTTTGCTCTCTTTAGCTGCAAGTTTTTATCTTAACAATATTAATTGGAAATGTTTTAAAATGAATTGAACATATCTCTTCTGTCTCAAGTGAAGTAGAGGAACGTATCTGAACTTCTATTTTTCTTCTCATTGGTGTTTGTATTCTTCTCTTTATAGAATATTAAGTTGATGATGTTAAAGAGCCTTTTAGAAGAATACATTTCACTATATTGACAGTTTCTCAAATAAATGGGCCCATGCTTCAAAACATGTTTAACTCTTGTTTTATAGATTTTATGTTAAGAATAGCACATGATGGTGATGAAATCTGACTTCTTTGTGCAGCAGTGGAAGTAACCAACTATGAAGTTGGCAAGCATCACTAAGAGCAGATAAAGGAATGTTTAATTGAGTAACTGGTCTTTCTAGAGCTGCTGGCTATTGTTTCCCAAATCTAAATAAATTGGGAAATGAAAGATGCCTTATGACACTTTAGTAACTTCAGAGGTTCTACCGGTGGTAACAACACTTAACACATTCAATCACTTAACTTCATTATGTGTTAATTTCTTCATCTTCAACAGAAATCGGGGGATTACATTACCTGTCTATAGGAATCACTGAATTAAATGAGCTAAGTAAAAGTATACAACACCTGTCACATAATAGATGTTCAATAAGTGTCCATTTCTCTGCTCTTCTCTAAGAGTTTTCCACCTTATAAAAGCAGACAGTTCTATAAAGGCATGACTCATGCACCATTCACAGAATCAATTTAAGTGCCTATTTCCTTTTTCCTTTATATATAAGCACTTCATTCCAAAAAGGGAAATAGGGACCTCATCCCTGTATAAGGGATTTGATGTATTTTTCTTCATTCCTTATCTGAATTGACACACTTGGACTTTTTTTTTTTTTTCATTTATTTTTATTAGTTGGAGGCTAATTACTTTACATCATTGCTGTGGTTTTTGTCATACATTGAAATGAATTAGCCATGGATTTACATGTATTCCCCATCCCGGTCCCCCCTCCCACCTCCCTCTCCACCCGATCCCTCTGGGTCTTCCCAGTGCACCAGGCCCGAGCACTTGTCTCATGCACCCAACCTGGGCTGGTGATCTGTTTCACCCTAGATAACATACGTGTTTCGATGCCGTTCTCTTGAAACATCCCACCCTCGCCTTCTCCCAGAGTCCACAAGTCTGTTCTATACATCGGAGTCTCTTTTTCTGTTTTGCATATAAGGTTATCATTACCATCTTTCTAAATTCCATATATATGTGTTAGTATACTGTAATGGTCTTTATCTTTCTGGCTTACTTCGCTCTGTATAATGGGCTCCAGTTTCATCCATCTCATTAGAACTGATTCAAATGAATTCTTTTTAATGGCTGAGTAATATTCCATGGTGTATATGTACCACAGCTTCCTCATCCATTCATCTGCTGATGGGCATCTAGGTTGCTTCCATGTCCTGGCTATTATAAACAGTGCTGCGATGAACATTGGGGTGCACGTGTCTCTTTCAGATCTGGTTTCCTCAGTGTGTATGCCCAGAAGTGGGATTGCTGGGTCATGTGGCAGTTCTATTTCCAGCTTTTTAAGAAATCTCCACACTGTTTTCCATAGTGGCTGTACTAATTTGCATTCCCACCAACAGTGTAAGAGGGTTCCCTTTTCTCCACACCCTCTCCAGCATTTATTGCTTGTAGACTTTTGGATAGCAGCCATCCTGACTGGTGTGTAATGGTACCTCATTGTGGTTTTGATTTGCATTTCTCTGATAATGAGTGATGTTGAGCATCTTTTCATGTGTTTGTTAGCCATCTGTATGTCTTCCTTGGAGAAATGTCTGTTTAGTTCTTTGGCCCATTTTTTGATTGGGTCATTTATTTTTCTGGAGTTGAGCTGGAGGAGTTGCTTGTATATTTTTGAGATTAATCCTTTGTCTGTTGCTTCATTTGCTATTATTTTCTCCCAATCTGAGGGCTGTCTTTTCACCTTGCTTATAGTTTCCTTTGTTGTGCAAAAGCTTTTAAGTTTCATTAGGTCCCATTTGTTTATTTTTGCTTTTATTTCTAAAATTCTGGGATGTGGGTCATAGAGGATCCTGCTGTGATTTATGTCGGAGAGTGTTTTGCCTATGTTCTCCTCTAGGAGTTTTATAGTTTCTGGTCTTACATTTAGATCTTTAATCCATTTTGAGTTTATTTTTGTGTATGGTGTTAGAAAGTGTTCTAGTTTCATACTTTTACAGGTGGTTGACCAGTTTTCCCAGCACCACTTGTTAAAGAGGTTGTCTTTTTTCCATTGTATATCCTTGCCTCCTTTGTCAAAGATAAGGTGACCATAGGTTTGTGGATTTATCTCTGGGCTTTCTATTCTGTTCCATTGATCTATATTTCTGTCTTTGTGCCAGTACCATACTGTCTTAATGACTGTGACTTTGTAGTATAGTCTGAAGTCAGGCAGAAAGCCTTTGACAAAATTCAACATCCATTTATGATTAAAACTCTCCAGAAAGCAGGAATAGAAGGAACATACCTCAACATAATAAAAGCTATATATGACAAACCCACAGCAAGCATCACCCTCAATGGTGAAAAATTGAAAGCATTTCCCCTGAAATCAGGAACAAGACAAGGGTGCCCACTCTCACCACTACTATTCAACATAGTTTTGGAAGTTTTGGCCACAGCAATCAGAGCAGGAAAAGAAATAAAAGGAATCCAGATAGGAAAAGAAGAAGTGAAACTCTCGCTGTTTGCAGATGACATGATCCTCTACATAGAAAATCCTAAAGACTCTACCAGAAAATTAATAGAGCTAATCAACGAATACAGTAAAGTTGCAGGATATAAAATTAACACACAGAAATCTCTTGCATTCCTATACACTAACAATGAGAAAACAGAAAGAGAAATTAAGGAAACAATACCATTCACCATTGCAACAAAAAGAATAAAATACTTAGGAGTATATCTACCTAAAGAAACAAAAGACCTATACATAGAAAACTATAAAACACTGATGAAAGAAATCAAAGAGGACACAAACAGATGGAGAAATATACCGTGTTCATGGATTGGAAGAATCAATATTGTCAAAATGGCTATACTACCCAAAGCAATCTACAGATTCAATGCAATCCCTATCAAACTACCAACGGTATTTTTCACAGAACTAGAACGAATAATTTCACAATTTGTATGGAAATACAAAAAACCTCGAATAGCCAAAGTAATCCTGAGAAAGAAGAATGGAACTGGAGGAATCACACTTGGACTTTTACAGAGGAAATGATAACTACCATTCACTATATTAGGAATATAGAAAGGAAAAAGCTGGTCCATGCTAAACTCCTTCATCCTAGCCAAATTCTTCAATTTCTATTGCCTTTCTGTGATAACTCCATTTTCCCCATAGAGTTACAGGTTTACTCTCCATCAGGAATGTTAATATTAATCTCCTCATGGGTTGCAGTCTTACTGAAACACACACACAATAATTTGACATTGTAATAAATTCCCTGTGTATATTAACTCTGTATCAAAGGTGTTTAAATTTTTTTCAGATCAGAAAAAGAAAACATTTTCTTTGAAAATATTTTCTATCATTTTTAATTGGGTGCATTTTATTCTCTATATGTGATAATTCACTTAAACTTTTCTGTACTTAAATCAAGAAATTCTTTTTATAAAGGGGATAAATTACTGAATTTAGATTTTGATTAATTTTTGTCCTGATTATTTTATATCTTCAGTAATAGGTAGAAGTGAAACTGTTAGTATACTTTACTTAAAATCATGGTGTATTAACATCTGAATCTTTTGTTTGCCCACTTCCAAATTCCAGCCTTCTTTCTTCTCAACCTTTATTTTAATTTGAGAAAGTGAAAATATCCTTAAAGTTAATGAAGCAAATTCTCTAATAAGATGTATGATTAATATATTTAAATTTTTGAATAATGATATACTGAAATATAATCTATATATATATCATGTATCTACATAATAATACCAGGTACCCTCTACCATTCTAATCATATGTTGATTAATATCCATATTACTTTTTACTGACATCTTTTCTAATTAGTTATCATTTTAGCCATATTTGTGCATATGTATTTAGGATAGCTTGTGGTTCTTACATAAAGAGAGCAATAGCTTCTATATTTGCTTTTTTTTTTAATATTTTTTTCTATCTAGAAATTGACATTGAACGTTGTGTGCGAGAATCAATCAACCTGTTTTGTTGGACTCCTAAAAGTGCTACTTACAGGCAGCATGCTCAACCTCCAAAGCCAACGTCTGATAGCAGCGGAGTCAGAAGTTCAACACCTTATTTCCCCACTGAGTGTCCAGATCCTCCAAAAACAGACCTGGTATGTATTTGCTTGACTTAATTTATAAACTCTAAAAGATATGATATTAATACACTTAGTATCTTTATTGTTCATAATACAGTTATCACTTATGTTCTTTTAACATAGCTCTCTTCTAGTATGTTGTATTCAGGCAGCTGTTCCAGGTCTTGAGGCCAACCAAAGGTGAGAGCTTAGTTAAGGCCTTCTCAGGTCTTCCTGTGCATGCAGACATCCTGTGTGTGCACAGACAGACTTCCAGATTCCCAGGATCCTGTTAGCACTTTCAGATTCCCCTGTGGACGTTGAATTCCTCAGCTTTTACTTTTAGTGGTTTTCTTTTTTTTTCATTGTCTGCTTATTCTTTGCTCCTACTGTCATGGCCACTTCAGGCAGCCACAATATTACTGAGAGGATTCTGAATCAGGTCAAACAAAGGCAAGCGTTGTAAGGAGAGGTTCTAGGAAACTGGAAGATAGGTGAAATAACCGTAACCTGCCGAAAGGACACCTCTTGGGAGCTCTAAAACAATCTGTCCTGTTCAGTGGCTGCTAGATTTCTGGTGTGTGAGAGTGCTGGTTTTTAAGGTGACTGTGGAACTGAGAGGGAAGCGAGAGTAGGGAAAACTAAAACCCCACAAAGTTCACATTCTTACTGAAATTCCGGTGTTCCTTTTGACTACATACGCTATAGATTGCAGCAGACAGACCTTTGTTTAACTTCAAAATTCTAAAAAGTTTATTTTTATGATCTCTGCCAGCATTCTCATTTTTGAAGGAGCGGCTCTTCTGAGATTCTTACTTGGCCATTCTCACTGATGTCACTCATATTCTATACTGTTTGTCCACTACACTTTAATTCTTCAGTGAAACAAAACGATTGAGAAATAGTTGATTTTAAAAGCTCAAAAAGGAATAGTGACAGCTCAAGTAATGTGAAACTTTCATTTTGTGATTAAGTGAAATTTTACTAAGAAAAATTGCTGTTTATTTTAAATTTGAGTAAGTGGTTTTAAATCTTTGCCCTTACACTCTCATCTGACATGAGATTTTTGTTTAAAGTGTTTAATAGTTTGAATGTCACTAAACCCCAAGTCCCTTTATATATTGCTGATTATGATAAGTCTCAGTACTGGATCAATTTGCTAAAACTTTGTAATACAAAACTAACTTTTTTTGTGTACTCAGAAATCTGATACATTTTTCCCAACAACAATACTAAGAATGAAAGAGAAAAATATATTATTTATGTAAAATGTTGCTATCTGAAGAATATTCAAGTTTTGGTTAACTTTTGTTTAGAATTTATTTCATTCTTTTTACGTTTCAACCATAAAGAAAAATATAATGAATAGTGCAAACAATATGTCTGAATACATACTATAAAACAGATGTCATTCAAGTTACTGAATTAAGAGTACCTACATTCAAAATTTGCATTTAGTGGAGGATATACTGACAGTAAGCAAAAAAAGTAAACATTTAGTGTGTTTTCTACAGTCTACATATAAGTAAGATCATCTGGTATTTGTCTTTCTCTGTCCAGCTTATTTCACTTAGCATAATATCCTCTGGATTATCCATGTTGTTACAAATGGCAGTATTTCTTTTTTAATGGTTGAGTAATATTCCATCATATACATATACACAACACTTTCTTTATCCATCCGTCTGTTGTTGAACATTTAGTGGCATTTAGGTGCCATTTTGAAAAATAAACAATAAGGAAAAAATAAATGGGACTGCATCAAACTGAAAAATTGTTACACAACAAAGAAAACTATCAATAAGACAGAAAGGCAATCTAATGAATGGGAGAAGATATTTGCAAACTATATATTCAGTAAGGAGTTAACATCCAAATTACACTAAGAACTCATAAAACTCAAAATCAAAGGACATACAACCCATTTTAAAAATGGGCAGAGGACCTGAATAGACATTTTCCAAAGCCATAAAGTGTGAGTCGCTCAGTCATGTCTGACTCTTTGCAACCCCATTGACTATAGCCCACCAGCCTCCTCTATCCATGGAATTCTCTAGGCAAGAATACTGGAATGTATTGCCATTTCCTTCTCCAGGGGATTGAACCTGGGCCTCCCACATTGCAGGAAGATTCTTTACTGTCAGAGCTACCAGGGAAGCCCTTCCAAAGGCATGCAGATGGCTAACAAATACATGATCAACATCACCAATCATCAGGGAAATGTAAATTAGAACCCCAATTGTATATGCGCTCATACTGTTAGAATTGCTATCATTAAAAAGACAACAAATAATTATTGGCAAAGATGTGGAGAAAAGGGAACCTGTGTGCACTGTTGGTGAGATGTAAATTGGTCCAGCCACTGTGGAAAGCAGCATAAAGGTTCCTCAAAAAATTTAAAATAGAACTGCCATGTGATCTATGGCAGTTTCACTTCTGGGTGTTTACCTGAAGAAAGCAAAATTAATTTGAAAAAAAAATCTATACATCAGTGTTCATAGCAGCATTATTTATAGTAACCAAGATATGGAGGCAACCTAAGTGTCCATCAATAGATACATGGATAAAGAAGGTGTGGTATTTTCATACACACACAATGGAGTATTACTGAGACAAAAAAAGATTGAAATCTTGACATTTGAAACAACGTGGATGAAACTTGAGGGTATTTTGGTCAGTGAAATAAATCAGAGAAAGAAAAATATCATATTATCTCACTTATATGTTGAATCTAAAAGACAAAAAGCTAACCGAACAAAGTGGGACCATACTTACAAATACAGAGAACAAACAGGTGGTTGCCTGAGGGGAAGGATGTGGCAGAGGGGTGTGTGTGAAATAGGTGAAGAAGATTAAAAGGTACAGACCTCCAGTTATTAAATAAATAAACCATGGAGATGTAATACACAGCATAAGGAATACAGTCAATAATATTGTTATAACTTTGTATAGGGTTAGATGGCTAGTAGACTTATGGTCTTCCCTGATAGCTCAGTTGGTAAAGAATCCACCTGCAAGGCAGGAGACCCTGGTTCAATTCCTGAGTTGGGAAGATCCCCTGGAGAAGGCTTAGGCTACCCACTCCAGTATTCTAGGATTCCCTGGTGGCTCAGCTGGTAAAGAATCCACCTGCAACATGGGAGACCTAGATTCCATCCCTGGGTTGGGAAGATCCCCTGGAGAAGGGGAAGGCTACCCACTCCAGTATTCTGGCCTGGAGAATTCCGTGGTGTGTATAGTCCTTGGGGTCGCAAAGAGTCAGGTATGACTGAACGAGTTTCAATTCACAGACTTATGGTACTAATCATTTCATAATGTCTACAAATGTCAGATCACTGTCTAGTACACCCTAATCCAATATAATATTGTATTCCAGCTATATTTCGTTTTTTAAAAGGAGAAGAGGAAAAGGACAATGGAAAATGCCAAGAAGTAGAAGTCTGGAGAACATTAGAGAAGAGTTACTATTTTATGTGAGAGACTTAAAGAAAATCTATCTAATAAGGAGACATTTGGGAAGAGAACCTAAAAGAAGTGAGAGTGAGCTATATATATTTCCTGAGGAAAAAATGTTCTATCTTGCAAGTGCAAGGTGGTAGCATTGCTTTGAATGTTAGAGGAACAGTAAGGATACTATACATAGAATGGAATGAGTGAAGAAGAGTCTTGCTGTTTTTGTTGTTTAGTCACTAAGTCGTGTCTGACTTTTGCAAACCCATGGACTGTAGCTGACTGGGCTGTTCTGTCCTTTAAAGGTATACAAACTTGCTATTACAGTAGTAAATATTAATATATTTTGAAAGAAAAATCAACAGATATGGCTGACTCATTGAATGTGAGGTACAAAAGAGAAAGTATGTGAAAGAGTCAGTTGCTCATGCTCATGTCTAGTTCTTTGCAACCCCTGGACTGTAGCCTGCCAGGCTCCTCTGTCCATGGAACTCTCTAGCCATTCCCTTCTCCAGTGGATCTTCCTGACCCAGGGATTGACCAGCATCTCCTGCATTGCAGGCCGATTATTTACCATCTGAACCTCCTCGTGGTTATCCAGGTCATTAAGACCTTTTTTGTATAGTTCTTCGTGTGTATTCTTTTTTTTTTTTTTTTTTTGCATGGCTTAAACAACATTTATTTCTTGTAGTTCTTGGGGATGATAAGTCCAAGATCAAGGTACTGGCAGATTTGGTTCCTAGTGAGAGCCTGCTTCCTAGTATACATGGCCTTTTCTCTGTGCATGTATGTGTTGAGAGAGGTATCTGTCTTTCTCTTCTTGCTGTTATTCAGTCACTAAGTTGTGTACGACTCTTCACAACCCCATGAACTTCAACACACCAGGCTTCCTGTCCTTCACTATCTCCCTGAGTTTGTTCAAACTCATGTCCATTGAGTCAGTGATGCCATCCAACTGTCTCATCTTCTGTCGTCCCCTTCTCCTCTTGCCCTCAATCTTTCCAAGCATCAGGGTCTTTTCCGATGAGTTGACTCTTCGCATCAGGTCCTTCCAATGAATGAGTATTCAGGGTTGTTTTCCTTTAGGATTGACTGGTTTGATCTCCTCAACTGTCCAAAGGACTCTCAAGAGTCTTCTCCAGCATCACAGCTCAAAAGCATCAGTTCTTCAGCACTCAGCCTTCTTTATGGTCCAACTCTCACACCCATACCTGACTACTGAAAAAACCACAGCTTTGGCTATACAGACCTTTGTCGGCTAAGTGATATCTCTGCTTTTTATTTTATTTTATTTTATTTTTGATGTACTCCTTTCCCAATTTTTTTTCATTTATTTTTATTAGTTGGAGGCTAATTACTTTACAGTATTGTAGTGGTTTTTGCCATACATTGACATGTATCAGCCATGGATTTACATGTGTTCCCCTTCTGTGTATTCTTGCCACCTCTTGAGATGGCAAAAGGTACAGAAATAAAATAAAAAAGAAAGTAATAGAAATAAAAACAAAGTTTTCTTACTACCTAGAAGTAGTAAAATAAACCAGTTTAAACTATAAGTTTAAAAATAAACCAAAAAATAACATAAA